ACCTGGGGTCTGGGGTGGGGACACCTGTGGGGCACCTGGGAGAACGAGCACATCACCTGGTTCGGTGAGGGACACACCTGGGGCACCTGGGGACACACCTGGGACACACCTGGGGCACCTGGGGACACACCTGGGACACACCTGGGACACGCCGAGGGGCACCTGGGACACACCTGGGGCACTTTTCTTGGGTTTGGTTGAGTTCAGTTGAGTTTGGTTGAGTTCAGTTGGGTTTGGTTGAGTTTCGTTGGGTTTGGTTGAGTTTCCTTGGGTTTGGTTGAGTTTGGCTTGATTTTGGTAAATTTTCCTTGACCTCAAGCTGAGCTTTGGGTAAATTCAGGTTGAACTTGGTTAAATTTGGGTGGAATTTGGGTCAAATTAGGCCGACTTTACCAAACCCAACGCTTCCCGTCCCCACAGTGTCGGACCGCGACCGGAACCTGCTGGTGTACATGTACCTGCCTGAAGGTGAGCGGGGCGGGGCCGGGTGAGCCCAGGTGAGCCCAGGTGGGCCCAGGTGACCCGGCCGTGTCCCCCCAGCCAAGGAGTCCTTCGGGGGGCTGCGGCTGCTGCGCCGCGCCGACTTCCACGTGGGGGCGCACGTCAACACCTTCTGGCGCACGCCGTGCCGCGGGCACGCCGAGGGGCCCAACCGGCGCAACAGCACCTGGGAGAACAAGCACATCACCTGGTTCGGTGAGGGACACACCTGGGCACCTGGGGACACACCTGGGACACACCTGGGGCCCCTGGGGACACACCTGGGACACACCTGGGGCCCCTGGGGACACACCTGGGACACACCTGGGGCCCCTGGGGACACACCTGGGACACACCTGGGGCCCCTGGGGACACACCTGGGACACACCTGGGGCCCCTGGGGACACACCTGGGACACACCTGGGGCCCCTGGGGACACACCTGGGACACACCTGGGGCCCCTGGGGACACACCTGGGACACACCTGGGGCCCCTGGGGACACACCTGGGACACACCTGGGGCCCCTGGGGACACACCTGGGACACACCTGGGGCACCTGGGAGAACAAACACATCACCTGGTTCGGTGAGGGACACACCTGGGCACACCTGGGGACACCTGGGGCACTTGGGCACACCTGGGAGAAAGAGCACAGCACCTGGTTTGGTATGGGGCACACCTGGGGACACACCTGGG